GCTAGGTTAGGTTAGGTAAGGTTAGGTTAGGGTAGGTTAGGTAAGGTTAGGTTAGGTAAGGTTAGGTTAGGTTAGGTAAGGTTAGGTTAGGTTATGTTAGGTTAAGTTAGGTTAGGGTAGGTTAGGTTAGGTAAGGTTAGGTTAGGTAAGGTGTGTGTGTGTGAATATCTTGGTTACAGTGATTTTAGTGGATTTGAGATGCATTTGTGGATGTGAAATGTGATTTTTTTGTGTGTGTGTTCAGAAGAGGTATGTGGGAGTGGGAGAGTGGATGTGAAGAAATTGCGGGGGTGAAAGGAGAGGGGTATGGGGAGTTAGGTAGGTTAGGATAAGTTAGGTATTAGGTTAGATAGGTTAAGTAGGTTGGGATAGGTTTGGTTAGGATAGGTTAGGTATAAAGTTAGTTAGGTTAGGGGAGGGCGTTATTTTAGGTAAGGCTAGGTAAGGGTAGGTTCGGTAAGGTTAGGGATAGGTTAGGTTAGGTTTAAGTTAGGTTAGGTAGGTTCGGTAGGTTAGGTTAGGTTAAATTAGGTTGGGTAGTTCGGTTAGGTTAGGTTCGGTTAGGTTATGACGGTTAGTTAGGGTAGGTTAGGTTAGGTTAGGTTAGGGTTAGGCTAGGTTAGGTTAGGTTAGGTTAGGTTTAGTTGGTAAGGTGTGTGTGTGTGAATATCTTGGTTACAGTGTTTTTAGTGATTTGAGATGCATTTGTGGATGTGAAATGTGATTTTTTTGTGTGTGTGTTCAGAAGAGGTATGTTGGGGAGATGGGTGAGTGGATGTGAAGAATGCGGGTGAGATGGAGAGGGGTATGGGGGGGTTGTAATTAGAAATATGGAGAGTTTAGATTTTATGATATAAAGGTAATGTGTGAATATTTTAAAAAGCAACTTTATAGAATTGATAAGTTAATGATTTATTTATTTTTTTGGAAAAAGAATGGAGGGGGTGTGAAAACATGTCGCAATAGTATTGGGTTTGGAAGTGTTTCAGTCGTTGATTGGAAATGTTCGTCGAAGGTGTTTTCTGAAGGTGTTTCAAGAGTGTATTGAAGGTGTCAAAGGTGTTTTGAAGGTGTTTCAAAGGTGGTTTTGAAGGTGTTGAGGGTGTTTTGGATTGAATTCAGCGGTGTGTTTTAGTAGTTTTCAGTGGTGTATTTTGTGGGAGTACTCAAAATTGTGTTTTTGGGAAGTGGTTTCAGTGTTGATTGGAAAAGTTCTAAGGTGTTTTTGAAAGTGTCAAGAGTGTTTTGAAGGTGTTCAAGGGAGTTTGTTAGGAAAAGGTGTTGAAGGGGTTTTGATTGGATTTCAGCGGTGTTTTAGTAGTAATCTGTGGTGTAATTGGGAGTACTTCTAAATTTTTTTTTTTTTTAGGTGTTATTGGAAATGTTCATGGTGTTGTGGGATGTGGTGTTGTGGGTGGTGTTGTCGAATTAGAGTTACCGAAAAAGATGATATATGTGGGTTGTGATGAAATTGTTTAAACGATATTCAAAGGTGTTTGAAGGGTTCAAGGGTGTTTATGTGAGTAATTCAAATGATTTGAGAGGTTTTTGGGGGTGTCAAAGGAAAGTGTTTGAGTTAGTTTTTGTGACTTTTTTCTGATGTTATGTTGTCCCTTAATAACTTTAATGAACTAAACGGGTAAAAAAACTGAGAAAAAATGCCTAATCTGGAGATGAGTGGATGGATGTAATTTATGAAAGTGCAGATAAATTAGAGATGTCAAATCTTATTTGGAAGTACTCAATTAGTGTTTTGGGAAATGTTCAAAGGTGTTTTGGTGTGTTCAAATGTTGTTTTTGAAGGTGTTCAAGGGTGTTTTGACAGGTGTATTCAAAGGTGTTGTGAGGTTATTCAAAGGTGTTTTGAAGGTGTTCAAGGGGAGTTGTTGTTGAAGGAGTTTCAAGGTTGTTTTGAGGTTATTCAAAGGATGTTTTGAAAGGTGTTCAGGGTGTTTATGTGAGTATTCAAAGGGTGTTCAAAGGTTGTTTGAAGGTTGGTGAGGGTGTTTTGATTGAAATCTCGGTGTTTTAGTAGTATTTCAGTGGTGTAATGGGGTTACCTCAAGAGTGTTTTGGAAATGTTCATAGGTTGTTTTTGAGGTGTTCAAGAGTGTTTGTGAAGGTGTGTTCAGGTATGTTTGTAAGGTGTTGAAGGGTGTTTTGATTGAATTCAGCGGTTGTTCGTAGTAGTAATCAGCTGGTTTTGTAATTGGTTTTAGGAGTACTCAAAAATTGTGTTTTTTGGAAGTGTTGCAGTGTTGTTTGGAAATGTTTCAAAGGTGTTCAAAGGTGTTTTGAGTGTGTTCAAAATGTTGTTTTTTTTTGAAGGTGATCAAGGGTGTTTGAAGGTGTTAAGGGTGTTTTGAGGTTGTTCAAATGATTATGAGAGTGCTTTTGAAGGTGTTTTGAAGTGTTCAAGGGTGTTTATGTGAAGGGGGGGGGTAAATTTCAAAGGTGTTTTGAGGGTGTACAAATGATTTGAGAGTAACTTATTGAAGGTGTTCAAATGATGTGCAAGAGTACATTATGAAGGTGTTCTGGGAGTATGCAGAGGTTGAGTTTGGGGAGTGTTCGAATGATGTTTTTGGAGTAATTCTGTGGTGTTTGGAAATGTATAAAAGGTGTTTTTGTTGAGTATACAAATGATTTATGAGAGTGTTTTGAGATGATTCAAAAGTAAAAGTGCGTTATTTAAACTTCGTAATATGTAAAAATTGTGGGTAGTGAATTTAACGAAAGTGGATGTAAGCGATGTGGTGACTTTCTGATGCATGTGTCCCTTATTAACTTTAATGAACTAAAAAGGGTTAAAACGAGAAAAATTGGGGGTTAATGAGTTGATATTGTGAGGTGATGGTTGGAGTGTGAGGGTTTGGGGATGGGTGGTAAAAGGGTAGACAAGATTACAACCTGTGTGCGCGGATCTTCACGTGACGTCACTACTATGTTCCCTTATTAATCTTGATATGAACTAAAAGGACCGACCTGATTCAACCTGTGTTGCGCGTGACGTCACTGACGCGAGGTTGGTAAACGTTTTTTTTTAGTTCATTTTATACTTAATGAGAGGAAACTTTTAGTTCATTTGACTTAATGAGAGGAAAACTTTTAGTTCATTTTAAAATAATAAGGGGAAGATGTTTAGAACCTGTGTAAGCAAGCCCCCATAGGAGGGTTCATCTGAATGCTTACCCACGAGGGGGGATTTCCAAAACCTTGATCCAAGGAGATGGAGAATTCGAAAACACCATAGGGGGGGAATCCAAAACTTGTTTTATCGAGAAATTTGGGTGGGAGTGAAAGTGTGGAGGGGGTAATCCAAAAATTTGATCCAAGGGAGGGAGAATTTCTAAAACCCATAGGGAGGATCCAAAAAAACTCGATTCCGAGGAGAGGTGTCTTGGTTTTGTCGAGAAATTTGAGGAGGAAGTGAATGAAATGGGAGAGGGATCGAGAAGTGGAGAACTTTGATATGAGACTCATAGGGGGGAGTATCCAAAATTGTGTTATCGAGGAAATTTGGGGAGGGGGGGGTGAAAGGAGGGGTATCCAAAAACTTGATCGAGGAATTGGAGAATTTCGAAAAACCCCATAGCGGGGGAATCCAAAACTTGTATTATCGAAGAAAAAAAATTTGAGGTGGGGGGTGGGTGAAAGTTGGGAGGGGTAATCCAAAATTTGATCCAAGGTGATCAGAAGAAATTCAAAACCCATAGGGGGGGAATCAAAAACTGTATTATCGAGAAATTTTTGGGATTGGGGGGGTGAAAGTGGGAGGGGGAACCTTAAAAATTTGATCTGAGGAGATGGAGAATTTCGAAAAACCCATAGGGGGGATCCAAAAACTTGGTATATGAGAAATTTTGGGTGATGGGGGTGAAAGTGAGAGGGGGAACCTCAAAAAATTTGATCCGAGGAGATGGAGAAACCCCCATAGGGGGGAATGCAAAAACTTGGTAATATTGAGAAATTTTTTGGGGATGGGGGGTGGAAGGAGGGGCAATCCAAAAAACCTTGATCCAAGGAGATGGAGAGCACAAGAAAATGAAATTCAAAAAAAATTCGAAAAAAATCGGAAAAAAATTCGAGGCGCGGGGGCGATCCGGACGACGCTGCAGAAGGCGCAGCAGAAGGCGCGAAGGGGCGCGGGCGGGGCGCGCGGGCGGGCGGGGCGCGCGGGGGCGGCGGGGCGGGGTGCGCGGTGGCGGGCGCGCGGGGGCGGCGGGCGGGAGGCGCGGGCGGCGCGCGGCGCGCGCGGCGCGATGGTGGGGTCGCGAGGGTGGGGGGGTTCGTGGTGGGTGGGCGGTATTGGTTGGGGGGTCAAGGGTGAGGTAGTCTCGAGGGCAGAGTTCATGGTCAAAACCGGAAGTAACACCTAGGTGTGAAAAGGTGACCCTCCAGCTGCTGGTCCTAGACCGGATACACCGCCTCAGTGGAAGGCCTAAACCGAAAGTTCCTCGCCAGTGAAAGGCCCAAACGGAAGGGACGCCCCTGAGGAAGGCCTTTTCCGGAAAAGGGACGCCCCAGAGGGAAAAATCCACTACTTATATATATATATTATATATATATATGTATATATAATAATATATATTATATATATTTATATATATATAAATATATTTATATATAATATATATTTTTTTTTTTTTTTTTTTTTTTTTTTCAACAAAAGTCGCCGTCTCCCACCCGAGGTAGGGTGTCCAAAAAAGAAAAGAAAATCCCCAAAAAGAAAATACTTTCTTCATCATTAACACTTTTCACCACAAAAACTCACACATAAATCACTGTTTTTGTAGAGGTGCTCAGAATACAACAGTTTAGAAGCATACACATATTAAAGATTACACAAACATATCCTCCAAATGCAATATCCCAAACCCCTCCTTATAGTGCAGCATTGTACTTCCCATTTCCAGGACTCAAGTTCGACTATATGAAAATAACCGGTTTCCCTGAATCCCTTCACTAAATATTACCCTGTTGTTTTTGGTATCATTTAATATGTGTCTCCCACACAGCCGGGTCGTGTTCACCTACAGTCACCTGTCAGTATGGTCGTCAGTGCTAGTCTTCATCAGGTTACTCCTGAAGGTGTTCAAGAAGGTCTTTCCAGAGTCCCAAACACCCTGAACATCCTGGGGGACACCACCTTCACGGCCCATGCTCGTATAGGCTGCGTGGATGCTGCCTCCTGCTTCTCTAAGCCTGACCTGCATCTCAGCGCCCGTGTTACGTAGGGCTTCAGCGTTTATCACTCCTGTGTTCCTCGCGTCACGGAGCGTTACTTTAATTCCCAGTTTTGCTAAATTTGTAAGAGATAAGTGGACTGTACATGTAAATGTAATGTACACCTGTTAACCCTTTAGGGGCCTAGTTCCTAGGCCTTTTGTGTATCCATATGCTCTTGCGCTACCGTCCACAGGATGGATTTGAGGTGCACAATAAACTAGTAACTTCGGTGGTAAAATCTAATCGCCCTCCACTCCGTCTTCGTTGGCTGCAGGTCTGAGTTTACGGTTGGTGACGGGAAGTTGGTTGTAGAGGTGATGGTTCACTCCAGGAACGACAGTGCTTACTCCGTGCAGCTGGTGCTGGGCTACCAACAGCAGCTGGTGTTCCAGAGGGTCTCTGGCTCCTCCTTGATCCCCACCTGTAAGCCAGCTGACAGCAGCAAGGATCAACGCAGCTATTTGACCTGTAAATTTACTTCAGATTTCCACAAGGAAGAGCAGGTGTGTATAGTTACTAATCATTAATAAGTAACACCTCTTTCAGAAGAGACAGATGTACAGTGTTGTTCTTATACTCTAAAATACATATCACATCTGTTGTCAGTCATATCTATGTTTACTTACACTTGTCATTGAATGTTTAGTAACCATTAGGAGGCGCTAATGTCTTCTCTCCTTTACCTTTTCTCAATTAAATCCTCACTAAAATAAGAGACGAAGCCACATGACACGTAAATCTTCACGTTTATTCAAACATTCGACCAAACATGGTTCTCTTGTTTGGGAGACTTTGCTGTCGAAAAGCTATGAATTAAATCTTTAAAACAGGGTCTCCAGCTTTGGTTCACAGCCTAACTTGATAAGAAACACTTAACCCGCTGTATCCAGTAAGTTAGGTCATAACACAGCTTTAATGACAAACTTGAAATCACTTGTACTCAAGTTACCTTCAGGGTAAAGCCAGGAATATCAACCTTAGAATACTTATCTCCAGGTGACACTTAGATTCCACTTGGAGTACACTCCGGAGATCTTACTAAACCACATGTTGACGTCTGGCGCACGTGAGGTCACCTTCTACTTAAATGTGACCAGTGACAGTCGTGACCTGAACGACACTGACAATACTTACTCCTTCACAATTCCGGCCAAAACTCAGGTCAATCTTCAAGTCACAGGGTGAGTCCTGGTTGTTGTACCTTCATGTGGAGGACAGGGCATGTGGAGGACAGGTCATGTGAAGGGCAGGTCATGTGGCGGGTAGGTCATGTGAAGGGTAGGTCATGTAAAGGGCAGGTCATGTGAAGGGCAGGTCATGTGAAGGGCAGGTCATGTGAAGGGCAGGTCATGTGAAGGGCAGGCCATGTGAAGGGCAGGTCATGTGGAGGGCAGGTCATGTGAAAAGCAGGTCATGTGAAGGGCAGGTCATGTGGAGGACAGGTCATGTGAAGGGCAGGTCATGTGAAGGGCAGGTCATGTGAAGGGAAGGTCATGTGGAGGGCAGATCATGTGGAGGGTAGGTCATGTGAAGGCGAGGTCATGTGAAGAGTAGGTCACGGGAGAGCAGGTCATGTGGAGGGCAGGTCATGTGAAGGGCAGGTCATGTGAAGGGCCGATCATGTGGATGGCAGGTCATGTGAAGGGCAGGTCATGTGAAGGACAGGTCATGTAAAGGACAGGCCATGTGAAGGGCAGGTCATGTGAAGGACAGGTCATGTGAAGGGCAGGTCATATGAAGGCCAGGTCATGTGAGGGGCAGGTCATGTAGATGGCAGGTCATGTGAAGGGTAGGTCATGTGAAGGGCAGGTCATGTGAAGGACAAGTCATGTAAAGGGCAGGTCATGTGAAGGACAGGTCATGTGAAGGGCATTTCATATGAAGGGTAGGTCATGTGAAGGGCAGGTCATGTGAAGGGCAGGTCATGTGAAGGGCAGGTCATGTGAAGGGCAGGCCATGTGAAGAGCAGGCCATGTGAAGGGCAGGTCATGTGAAGGACAGGTCATGTGGATGGCAGGCCATGTAAAGGACAGGCCATGTGGAGGGCTGGCCATGTAAAGGACAGGCCATGTGGAGGGCAGGTCATGTGAAGGGCAGGTCATGTGAAGGGTAGGTCATGTGAAGGGCAGGTCATATGAAGGGCAGGTCACCTGAAGGGCAGGTCATATGAAGGGGACAACTGTATGTAGCAGTCCTCTTAATCCAGGTCAGTACATAACACTAAGAACGTCAAACGTGTGACTGTCATGCTAGTACACAACCGTGACTGAGTGTGTGCTGGCTGGTTCTCTTCTCTCTTCTCACTGAAATAACCTTTGTGTATTATTGTATATATTACTGCTATAATATCTTATAATTGGTTAAATTTTGCCTGTAGACATTAATGTAACATGCTTAAACTATATTTTGGTCAGGATATCGAACTTAATGTAACATGCTTAAACTATATTTTGGTCAGGATATCGAACTTAATGTAACATGCTTAAACTATATTTTGGTCAGGATATCGAACTTAATGTAACATGCTTAAACTATATTTTGGTCAGGATATCGAACTTAATGTAACATGCTTAAACTATATTTTGGTCAGGATATCGAACCCAGAGAGTGTGGAGGGTAGAGTGAACACGAGTGCCACTCTGAGTGAACTGTTTCCTGTGGAAGTCCCCACAGTCCCTGTGACTCTGGCTTCACCTCAGCACCTCGGTCCTCGCCTCAGTCACCAGTACTCCATCACCAACAGCGGCCCGTCCCCAGTGCTATCACTCAAGGTGGGTATTACCACTGCTGGCAATGGTGAGTGGCAGCCTGGAACACTGATCAATAGGCACACCAAATTACATTCAAGCGGTCCAATCAGAATGGCATCAAAGCTGCGACTGACTCAGCAGAGAAGACTGTAATGTGTGTGAGTAACTGTGTCTGCCTCTGCTCTGGCTGGTGTTTCTCTCTGACACGACGTCTCTCACCCCTTCAGGTGCTGCTGCGTCTGCCTCTTCAACTGGGTACAGATATCCCTCTGCTGTACCTGCTGGAGTCTCTCCTCACCTCAGGTCCCATCGCCTGCTCCTCTCCTCCCCTCAACCCTAATGGCTTTAACGTGAGTACTGTCCTGTCTAAGTTTTATCCTGCCATATAGAACCTTATAGAGCAGTTATGAGTGCTGCTTTCATGGTCTCTAGATTACTATTATTATTATTGAAGTCACTCTGGTTGCTCTGCAGTTCACATCACATCATGGAAGGGAGGGGAGCGACGACATGGATGTCACCGGTGATGTGGGGACTGTCAACGAGACTGCTGACACTGACCTCTCAATGACAGATATAGTCAGCCACCCCCGGGGCAGACGACACAGAAGGCAGACTGACAACGACAAAGATACTGATGTTGTCTTTAATAGGTGAGTGTAGTGATGTGTCACACTGTTGTGATGTGTCACACTGTTGTAATGTGTCACACTGTTCTGATGTGTCACACTGTAGTGATGTGTCACACTGTATCTATTGTCCAATATTAATATTATTATTTGTAGATGAATGGTTCAGAGAACCGACATGTTGATAAATTAGACACATGTGCAACTCTTGGGTATCTTTATTGAGGAAACGTTTCGCCACACAGTGGCTTCATCAGTCCATACATCTAAAAACCCTGTCAACACTGCAATCTTGGATGATTTAACTTGTAATTCTGTTCCTAATTCTTGGGACCTCTTCTAATTTAACAATGTTACGCATGTTGGTTGCACACTGTTGTAATGTGTCACACTGTTCATGCTGTGTCACACTGTAGTGTATCGTAGTCACACTGTTGGATCATGTCAAGTGTTGTGATATTCACTTTTCTGTTTGATTCTCTTTGTAGACTGTGTGATATGTCACACTGTAGTGATGTGCACAACTGTATTCTTTGCAATATAATATTACCCATTATTATGTTTCATTATTTTAATTATTTTATTCATATTATTATTTTTATTATTATTATTTTTATTATTATTATGGTATCTACATTTTAGGTATTAAATTCAACTTATACTGGTGGGGAACGATGCATGCAGCCTTATGCTTCTTGTAGTGTAGGTTTGAAACCCCATTAACCAACCTGGAAGCTATAGCAATGAACACAGCATCATGGGCAGTGTATCTGGCACCATCGCTGGTGTGTCTGGCACCCTCGCTGATGTGTCTGGCACCCTCGCCCGTGTTTGGGCACCCTCCCCGTGTGTCTGACCCTAGCGGTGTGTCGGGACACCCTCGCTGATGTACTGGCACCCTCGCCGTGGTCTGGCACCTGCCCCGTGTTCTGGCACCCTCGCCCGTGTGTCTGGCACCCTCGCTGGTGTGTCTGGCACCCTCGCTGATGTGTCTGGCACCCTCGCCCGTGTGTCTGGCACCCTCGCCCGTGTGTCTGGCACCCTCGCTGGTGTGTCTGGCACCCTCGCTGGTGTGTCTGGCACCCTCGCTCGTGTGTCTGGCACCCTCGCTCGTATGTCTGGCACCCTCGCTGGTGTGTCTGGCACCCTCGCTCGTGTGTCTGGCACCCTCGCTCGTGTGTCTGGCACCCTCGCTGGTGCGACTGGCACCCTCGCTGGTGTGTCTGGCACCCTCGCTCGTGTGTCTGGCACCCTCGCTGGTGCGTCTGGCACCCACTGGTGTATCTGGCACCCTCGCTCGTGTGTCTGGCACCCTCGCTGGTGCGTCTGGCACCCTCGCTGGTGCGTCTGGCACCCTCGCTGGTGTGTCTGGCACCCTCGCTGGTGCGTCTGGCACCCTCGCTGGTGTGTCTGGCACCCTTGCTGGTGTGTCTGGCACCCTCGCTGGTGCGTCTGGCACCTCTGTCATATAATTAAAAGTTGCTGCCAACATTTACAAGTTGTCTTGTAATATATTTGTGTCCTGTGTATTTATATATATTGTCAGGGCCTCTAGGTGGCGCAGACCAGGGGCCTCACAGTACCTGTAGCCCAGTGGCTTCACAGTACCTGTAGCCCAGTGGCCTCACAGTACCTGTAGCCCAGTGGCTTCACAGTACCTGTAGCCCAGTGGCCTCACAATGCCTGTAGCCCAGTGGCCTCACGGTACCTGTAGCCCAGTGGCCTCACAGTACCTGTAGCCCAGTGGCCTCACAGTACCTGTAGCCCAGTGGCCTCACAGTACCTGTACCCCAGTGGCCTCACAATGCCTGTAGCCCAGGGGCCTCACGGTACCTGTAGCCCAGGGGCCTCACGGTACCTGTAACCCAGGGGCCTCATAGTACCTGTAACCCAGGGGCCTCATAGTACCTGTAACCCAGGGGCCTCACAGTACATGTAGCCCAGGGGACTCACGGTACCTGTAACCCATGGGCCTCACGGTACCTGTAACCCAGGGGCCTCACAGTACCTGTAACCCAGGGGCCTCACAGTACCTGTAACCCAGGGGCCTCACAGTACCTGTAACCCAGGGGCCTCACAGTACCTGTAACCCAGGGGCCTCACGGTACCTGTAACCCAGGGGCCTCACAGTACCTGTAACCCAGGGGCCTCACAGTACCTGTAACCCAGGGGCCTCACAGTACCTGTAACCCAGGGGCCTCACAGTACCTGTAACCCAGGGGCCTCACAGTACCTGTAACCCAGGGGGCCTCACGGTACCTGTAACCCAGGGGCCTCACAGTACCTGTAACCTAGGGGACTCACGTACCTGTAACCCAGGGGGTCACAGTACTTGTAACGGGCCTATAGTACCTGTAACCCAGGGGCCTCACGGTACCTGTAACCCAGGGGCCTCACAGTACCTGTAACCCAGGGGCCTCACAGTACCTGTAACCCAGGGGCCTCACAGTACCTGTAACCCAGGGGCCTCACGGTACCTGTAACCCAGGGGCCTCACAGTACCTGTAACCTAGGGGACTCACAGTACCTGTAACCCAGGGGGCTCACAGTACCTGTAACCCAGGGGCCTCATAGTACCTGTAACCCAGGGGCCTCACGGTACCTGTAACCCAGGGGCCTCACAGTACCTGTAACCCAGGGGCCTCATAGTACCTGTAACCCAGGGGCCTCACGGTACCTGTAACCCAGGGGGCTCACAGTACCTGTAACCCAGGGGCCTCATAGTACCTGTAACCCAGGGGCCTCATAGTACCTGTAACCCAGGGGCCTCACGGTACCTGTAACCCAGGGGCCTCATAGTACCTGTAACCCAGGGGCCTCACAGTACCTGTAACCCAGGGGCCTCACGGTACCTGTAACCCAGGGGCCTCACAGTACCTGTAACCCAGGGGCCTCACAGTACCTGTAACCCAGGGGCCTCACAGTACCTGTAACCCAGGGGGCTCACAGTACCTGTAACCCAGGGGCCTCACGGTACCTGTAACCCAGGGGCCTCACGGTACCTGTAACCCAGGGGCCTCACAGTACCTGTAACCCAGGGGCCTCACAGTACCTGTAACCCAGGGGGCTACAGTACCTTAATCCAGGGGCCTCATAGTACCTGTAACCCAGGGGCTACAGTACTTGTAACCCATGGGTGCTTCACAGACCTGTAACCCAGGGCCTACAGACTGAACCAGGGGCCTCAGTACTGTAACCAGGGGTACAATGTGCAGTAATTCGGTTCTGATGTGAATATATGTTTAAAGTATTAATGAGGATTGTTGGTTGTACAGAACTCGTATGGAAGACAAGGGAGTCCTCAGTTGTCAACTGATGTCCTGTGCAGAAGTCATGTGAGTATGTTTGTCAACAAAAACACGTGTCATTGTTTGTAAACAATGCCCCCCCCCCTACTTTTTTTTTCCTCTCTTGCGACTTGATGATGGTTGAAGGCGGACAGAAATGTCGTCTATTTTTCATTGTTTTTACTGTGATTTGCATGTTGAGATCTGTCTCAAGAAATCGTAATGACACGATTGCAAATAAACAATACCCCCGGCCGGGATTGAACCCGCGGTCATAGAGTCTCAAAACTGCAGCCCGTCGCATTAGCCACTAGACCAGCTGGTCTAGTGGCTAACGCGACGGGCTGGAGTTTTGAGACTCTATGACCGCGGGTTCAATCCCGGCCGGGGGTATGGCTTGAGATCTGTTATTTAGACATCATAACACACCTGACACACTTACCTTACTGGCCAAGCTAAGACAACACACCTGTCTTATATAAACCTTGGTAACTGATACCATCAGTATTGTTTAAAAAACACCAGAGCAAACACGAAGACATGTTTATAAGCCAGCGTATCGGTCAGGGGACCCTCACTAAGGTTCCAGGACTGAAATACTTCGAATAAATGTGTCCCAGCGTTTACACACTTGTCCTTTTAAACCACATCTGTCCTAGTCTACAAGCTAACGGCACACACGTGATCTTGACTTGTGTGCAGGTGTGAGGTACCGACGCTGAGGGCGGGCGAAGTGGTGACGGTGACGGTGTCTGGCTACGCTGTCGTTGCTTCTCTTAAGGTACCCCTGAAATTAGTTACGTTTTCTTCGATTCTCGCATGATTTATCCATTTTCTTAAAAAATTTAGGGTTAACTACTTTTCTTTGCACTTAGTACGTGTGATTGTCGAAATGAAAAAAAAAATCAAGTTACTTAAAATAATCAACATAATTGTTTTTTCTCTTTTCCCATTTGTACATCATTATCATGTGTACATATTACTTAAATATATATTATGTATATATATATATATAATATATATATATATTATATATATATATATATAATATATATATATATATATATATATATATATATATATAATATATATATATAATATATATATATATAAATATATTATATATATATATGATATAATATATATATACAACCACTTACACATCACACGGATCAGCTTCTCCGTAGAAGGTCAGTGTTGATTAAGTCATCACTGGAGGTGGAAGTGCAGGATGCTCACTACTACGACCTCATCAACAGTGACATCAACATTATCACTGCCAGTACTCAGGTGGCAATCATCAGGAAAAATGTGAGTACTGGTAAAAGAGGAGGTTCAAATCTTGTACTGATGAAATATATTGCAGTAATCCCTATTTTATATATATACAGTATGTTATATATATATATATATATATATATATATTATATATATTATAATATATATATATATATATATATATATATATAAAGATAGTAGTGATATAACACAACCACCATGGAGGTATAATTCCAAGCCAGTTGTGTATCACATGTCAAGGAACTGTGAAATTGTTTACATCAAGATAGGAATTAGCTGTAGATTCTAAGTTACTCTCATAAAATGAACATAGGTTTCCGGATACGTCTGCTACTGTCGCTGTCCAACTAAGGTCATCACTACATCATACAATATACACATAAAAGTTATTATTTCAATTGTTATTAATCTAAAATTTTTTATACTTATATATAGTTAATTTATATATATCTATAAGGAAAAATTCTTCTGTAAGCTATGTGTTGAAAGGATATCCAAGGTAGTAACTTTGAATAATAAGGAGATTAACTTTTGTTTCTCACCCAGCATGGTGATACTAATGAAGAAGAATATATTATAATATATAATTTAAAATAATATTTTCAAAATATATAATTATATATAATATATTAATTATAGCCATATATCTAAATACCAGTGAAAGAGTATTGTAATATTTAAAGTTCGGATTCATTAGAAGGAAATAAACTTTATAAAAGATTAAGGTTAGATACACTCCAGTCAAAACCCCACAACCAAAGAAACACCTTATTCCAACAAAAATATATTGTCCCTCTAACCAATGAAAACTTGGTCGATATGCTTCTCTGCTTAGTCCTTTAATATAAAGGTTCTCAAACATCATGATACAGTAAAAATAACTTTGATAAAAATTTCCCAAATTGATGGTTGTCCAATAAGATTATTGTAAATTTCGATAAAGTTTATTAGTTAAACTGGAAAAGTCAACTAATTAAAACACTAAATATGCTTGAACTGGAAATTCCATGTCTAATTTTCTGTGAGATTTTACTATCCAATTGATTTTCAAGTTGAGAGTTATTAGCAAGTCCATGGTTCGACAGATCCATGATGTTTCATAAAGCGTTTGAAATAATAAAATTTTTAGGAATAACATTAGATCTAAAATATAGAATTATTGATAAATCATTTAAAATTGCTAGAAATACTTTTTACAACCCAAAAAGGGACAACCAGCCTTATTCAACTAAAAATATGTTGGTTCTCCCTTACCATGAAAACTTGGTTGATATGCCTTCTCTTCTTAAGACTTTTAATATCAAAGTTGTATTCAAAAATCTTGATACAGTAAAAAAAAATTTTGATAAAGAATTCCCCCCAAAATGCTGATGGATGTGTCTATAAGATTCCTTGTAAAATTTGCGATAAAGTTTATTACGGTCAAACTGGAAAAAGTCTCGAACTAAGATTAAAACAACATAAATATAGCATTAGAACTGGACAAGATTCCAATGCTCTATTTATTCATGTGAGAGATTTTAACCATCCAATTGATTTTCAAAAAGTTGAGAAAGTAGTATCAAGCAAGTCCATGGTCGACAGGAATATAATTGAATCTTGTTTCATAAAAAGCAGTTTTGACAATAATATGAATATTTCCTTAGGTTTATATAAATTAGATCCATTTATAAATAATAGAATTTGGTTAGAGTTTAATAATACATTGGACAAATAATAAACCGTATTTCTTGGGTAGAATATTTTGTTAGTGGGATGTCGTGAGGACCTGTCTAGTTGGACCAGCGGACCTACTGCAGTGTTCCTCTTTTCTTATGAGTCCGGTATTGTCGCGCGTCAGGTGTTTCTTTGTTGTGGGGGTTGACTGTGAGGTGTAGTCTAAGCCCTTTAATTTCCTTCCTTTGATGTATTACTTTCACAGTTCCTTGACAATGTGAGTAGTCACGAATGCGCTTGGAATTTCACTACTCTTTCACAGTGGTTGTTTTGTATAATATAATATATATATTAATATATATATATTTATATATATATATATTTATATATATATATTATATATATATATATATATATATATATATATATATATATATATATATATATATATATTAACCTGGGTGTGTGCCTTTCTTGGTGTTGTCACTTGGTCAGGAGGTTGGCAGTAGGAAGTTCGGTTGGTGGCACTGGCTTCTCATCCTCCTCATCAGCTTCATCATAATCATTATCATCATTATTATCCTGAAGAAGGTCAGTATCATCATTATCAATTGTATCTTGAACGAATACTCACCTGACACCTCGATCTAATGAAATTAAGATCACTTCAATGTTAGTTATTACTCACCAATGTTTACTTAAGTCTCCCATTAAAATAAACATCAGGGTGACTTCTTATCTATATGATAATGATATAAACATTAGTTATGACAGCTAATTTAGTCGTGTATGGGCAGGTTGGCTTCTTCGAGAGGAAGAGAGTCCCCGGCACAGACACGGAAATACTGACAGAAGGCGATAAGAATGAAAAGAAAGATAAAGACGAGGAGGAAGAGGGACAAGAAAAAGAAGTTTAAGTAGATTGAAGCCCTGAAGGAGGGAGGGAGAGAGGAGAGAGGGCACTGAAGAAGGAAAGAGTAAAAAGAACAACAGCAACAGGGCTTGGAGGATAGAGAAGCAATGGAGAATTGAGGACGACAGAACGATGAAGAGATGCAGGAAGAACAACAGGAATAACAGTGAATAACATTGAAGTGCAAGGAACATTCTACTAGATAAACTAGAATTTCAGCTTGTAGCTCTCATTATTTCAATCACTGCCTAGTCATAGCACCAACCTGTCAAGCGTCTACGTTCACATCTCTGTTTCATGTTGGCGAAGTGGTTCACCTCTGCTTCTAGTTTAATGAACGACTTGCTGAGAATAGTTGTTTTACTAGAAGAGGAAGAACAACATAGATAGAGAGAAGCTTGTGTTGTGACAGTGTTCCATTGACTTGCTAATGATCTACTCTCAGTGAAGTTGACTTGTTAAGCTCTACACTGAGGGAAATATTATAATAATACCTTCTCTGTACCTGCTGTATAGTGTTGTTGGTACCTGCTGTATACAGTGTTGTTGGTACCTGCTGTATACAGTGTTTCTGGTACCTGTTGTGTACAGTGTTGTTGGTGCCTGCTGTATACAGTGTTGCTGGTACCTGTTGTGTACAGTGTTGTTGGTGCCTGCTGTATACAGTGTTGCTGATACCTGCTGTATACAGTGTTGCTGGTACCTGTTGTGTACAGTGTTGCTGGTACCTGTTGTGTACAGTGTTGCTGGTACCTGCTGTATACAGTGTTGCTGGTACCTGCTGTATACAGTGTTGCTGGTACCTGTTGTGTACAGTGTTGCTGGTACCTGCTGTATACAGTGTTGCTGGTACCTGCTGTATACAGTGTTGCTGGTACCTGCTGTATACAGTGTTGTTGGTACCTGCTGTATACAATGTTGTTGGTACCTGCTGTATACAGTGTTGCTGGTACCTGCTGTATACAGTGTTGCTGGTACCTGCTGTATACAGTGTTGTTGGTACCTGCTGTATACAGTGTTGCTGGTACCTGTTGTGTTACAGTGTTGCTGGTACCTGCTGTATACAGTGTTGCTGTACCTGCTGTATACAGTGTTGCTGGTACCTGCTGTATACAGTGTTGCTGGTACCTGCTGTATACAGTGTTGCTGGTACCTGCTGTATACAGTGTTGCTGGTACCTGTTGTGTACAGTGTTGCTGGTACCTGCTGTATACAGTGTTGCTGGTACCTGTTGTGTACAGTGTTGCTGGTACCTGCTGTATACAGTGTTGCCGGTACCTGTTGTGTACAGTGTTGCTGGTACCTGCTACCAGTACCTCGGTACCTCACACAATAGTCATCCCTCACATGTCAGAAATCATTAGGTTTAACTAATAATTAACTTCCTGTCCTTGGTAGTATTATTTACTTAAACTGTATCATTAAAGGTGCCTTACCCTAGTCTACGATTGTAGGTCTATGATTGTACGTCTATGATTGTACGTCTACGATTGTAGGTCTATGATGTACGTCTATGATTGTACGTCTACGATTGTAGGTCTATGATGTACGTCTATGATTGTACGTCTACGATTGTAGGTCTATGATGTACGTCTATGATTGTACGTCTACGATTGTAGGTCTATGATTGTACGTCTATGATTGTACGTCTATGATTGTACGTCTATGATTGTAGGTCTATGATTGTACGTCTACGATTGTAGGTCTACGATTGTAGGTCTATGATTGTACGTCTACGATTGTAGGTCTATGATTGTACTTCTATGATTGTACGTCTACGATTGTAGGTCTACGATTGTAGGTCTATGATTGTACGTCTACGATTGTAGGTCTATGATTGTACGTCTATGATTCTACGTCTATGATTGTACGTCTACGATTGTATGTCTATGATTGTACGTCTACGATTGTACGTCTATGATTGTAGGTCTATGATTGTACGTCTACGATTGTAGGTCTACGATTGTAGGTCTATGATTGTACGTCTACGATTGTAGGTCTATGATTGTACGTCTATGATTGTGCGTCTACGATTGTAGGTCTATGATTGTAGGTCTATGATTGTAGGTCTATGATTGTAGGTCTATGATTGTACGTCTATGATTGTACGTCTATGATTGTACGTCTACGATTGTAGGTCTATGATTGTACGTCTACGATTGTAGGTCTATGATTGTACGTCTACGATTGTACGTCTATGATTGTACGTCTACGATTGTAGGTCTATGATTGTACGTCTATGATTGTAGGTCTATGATTGTACGTCTACGATTGTAGGTCTATGATTGTACGTCAATGATTGTAGGTCTATGATTGTACGTCTACGATTGTAGGTCTATAATTGTACGTCTACGATTGTAGGTCTATGATTGTACGCCTACGATTGTAGGTCTATGATTGTACGCCTACGATTGTAGGTCTATGATTGTACGTCTATGATTGTAGGTCTATGATTGTACGTCTACGATTGTAGGTCTATGATTGTACGTCTACGATTGTAGGTCTATGATTGTACGTCTACGATTGTAGGTCTATGATTGTACGTCTACGATTGTACGTCTATGATTGTACGTCTATGATTGTACGTCTATGATTGTACGTCTATGATTGTACGTCTACGATTGTAGGTATATGATTGTACGTCTATGATTGTACGTCTATGATTGTACGTCTATGATTGTACGTCTACGATTGTAGGTCTATGATTGTACGTCTATGATTGTAGGTCTATGATTGTACTTCTATGATTTTAGGTCTATGATTGTAGGTCTATGATTGTACGTCTATGATTGTAGGTCTATGATTGTAGGTCTATGATTGTAAGTCTATGATTGTAGGTCTATGATTGTACGTCTATCATTGTAGGTCTATCATTGTAGGTCTATTATTGTATTTCTATGATTGTACGTATATGATTGTACGTCTGTGATTGTAGGTCTATGATTGTAAGTCTATGATTGTAGGTCTATGATTGCAGGTCTATGATTGAACATTAAAATGGTATAAAATACCGACAGGTTGTTATGTAAGACACATATGCAACAGTTAGGTATCTTTATTTCGAAACGTTTCGTCTACACAGTAGGCTTCAGTCGAGTACAGAAAAGTTGATAGAAGCAGAAGAGACTTGAAGACGATGTAATCAGTCCATCACCCTTAAAGTTGTGAGGTGGTCAGTCCCTCAGTCTGGAGAAGAGCATTGTTCCATAGTCTGAAACAATATGGAGTTGAAGTGACAGGATGGAGCCTTATATAGCGCCAGGAGGTGAGACGTAGGTCACTAGCAGAACGCAGATGTTGGGAGGTCAGGTCCCTCTCAGATCCAGCCGTTCTCACTAGTAGAGGTTGTCGAAGTTGATTTCAGGTCTGTACCAAGATACCCTTGTGTATACTGTGTAGGCGAAACGTTTCGAAATAAAGATACCTAACTGTTGCATATGTGTCTTACATAACAACAGGTCTATGATTGTATGTCTATGATTGTAGGTCTATAATTGTACGTCTATGAATGTAGGTCTCTGTAAGTCTGTGATTGTAGGCTCCCTAGCAGTATGAACCAGAAAATGTATGATTGTTGAGAGGTAATAAAGGGATCAACATATTGTTGAGTGATTGTATTATGTTTCTATGTTCATTTATTTTTCATGTTAAAATTAACGAATATTATAGAAACGTCAATTTTGTCTTCAAATCTTGCCTTACTAGGTTTGAAGCTTATCTACTACACGAGGGTCATTGAGGCTGCATGTTACCTGGTCACCACCAGTCAAGAATACCAGTGTATATACACCGAGGGATATACACCTCTCATTGTATATACACAGAAATATAAGCCTCTAGATTTATATACACAGATGTAAATACTGTTATTTATTATTGAGGACGGGGGACTCGAACTGTGGTCCTTGTATGTACCATGACACAAGTTATTGGATGTACTTAACTAGTTGTGTCTGCAGGGGGTCGAGTCACATAACTCCTGCTCGTATTGTTTAGTAACCTGTCGTGTAGACTCTAAAATGTTCTTTGATTTAGCACGGATCTCTTCAAATTCAAATTCAAATGTGCATTGCCTAAACAGGTTACAGAGGTTATAAATGTTAACAGATATGACGTCTTACCATCAATGCTGAAAATAATTTTTATGATTAAATATATAAAAAAAATCCATAAATGTGTATTAATGTCACAGAAAATTTACATAGCTAAGTGTTGATAGTAATGATGTACAATATATATATATATATATATATATTATATATATATATATATATATATATATATATATATATATATAAGTGAACATATAAGTGAACGTATTTAGATAAGGCTAAAGAGGTCTTTGTGGCATTTATGGATTTGGAAAGGCGTATGACAGGGTGGATAGGGGGGCAATGTGGCAGATGTTGCAAGTGTATGGTGTAGGAGGTAGGTTACTGAAAGCAGTGAAGAGTTTTTACGAGGATAGTGAGGCTCAAGTTAGAGTATGTAGGAAAGAGGGAAATTATTTCCCAGTAAAAGTAGGCCTTAGACAAGGATGTGTGATGTCACCGTGGTTGTTTAATATATTTATAGATGGGGTTGTAAGAGAAGTAAAATGCGAGGGTCTTGGCAAGAGGCGTGGAGTTAAAAGATAAGAATCACACATAAAGTGGGAGTTGTCACAGTTGCTCTTTGCTGTTGACACTGTGCTCTTGGGAGATTCTGAAGAGAAGTTGCAAAGATTGGTGGATGAATTTGGTAGGGTGTGCAAGAGAAGAAAATTAAAAGTGAATACAGGAAAGAGTAAGGTTATGAGGATAACAAAAATATTAGGTGATGAAAGATTGGATATCAGATTGGAGAGAGAGAGTATGGAGGAGGTGAATGTATTCAGATATTTGGGAGTGGACGTGTCAGCGGATGGGTCTATGAAGGATGAGGTGAATCATAGAATTGATGAGGGGAAAAGAGTGAGTGGTGCACTTAGGAGTCTGTGGAGACAAAGAACTTTGTCCTTGGAGGCAAAGAGGGGAATGTATGAGAGTATAGTTTTACCAACACTCTTATATGGGTGTGAAGCATGGGTGATGAATGTTGCAGCGAGGAGAAGGCTGGAGGCAGTGGAGGTGTCGTGTCTGAGGGCAATGTGTGGTGTGAATATAATGCAGAGAATTCGTAGTTTGGAAGTTAGGAGGAGGTGCGGGATTACCAAAACTGTTGTCCAGAGGGCTGAGGAAGGGTTGTTGAGGTGGTTCGGACATGTAGAGAGAATGGAGCGAAACAGAATAACTTCAAGAGTGTATCAGTCTGTAGTGGAAGGAAGGCGGGGTAGGGGTCGGCCTAGGAAAGGTTGGAAGGAGGGGGTAAAGGAGTTTTGTGTGCGAGGGGCTTGGACTTCCAGCAGGCGTGCGTGAGCGTGTTTGATAGGAGTGAATGGAGACGAATGGTTTTTAATACTTGACGTGCTGTTGGAGTGTGAGCAAAGTAACATTTATGAAGGGGTTCAGGGAAACCGGCAGGCCGGACTTGAGTCCTGGAGATGGGAAGTACAGTGCCTGCACTCTGAAGGAGGGGTGTTAATGTTGCAGTTTAAAAACTGTAGTGTAAAGCACCCTTCTGGCAAGACAGTGATGGAGTGAATGATGGTGAAAGTTTTTCTTTTTCGGGCCACCCTGCCTTGGTGGGAATCGGCCAGTGTGATAATAAAAAAAATAAAATAATATATGCAAGATCAGGAAAGTTATTGATGTGACTGAGAAGTATAACGTAGGGTGAGTAATACCTGACAGTCTGAGAGAGTGAAGAATGTGGTAATAACACCACCTAACACCACCTATCACCACCTAACACCACCTAAAATTATTTTTCACGACCTAAAACCACCTATCACGTCAGTCTGTAATATACAAGGTGCTACCGTGGTTGATATATTGTCTGGTTGAGGTTGTAATCCGGTGGAGCGAGCACACAGTATGACACTGACTCACCATGTGTATCCAGCGTCTTGTTTGTAACGAGTGAATCAACAGTGGTGTAGCCCCCGCTGCCAGGCGGTACCCTCAGCTGTGTGTTGTTGTTGAGTGAGTTTGGTGTGAAGGTTATCGTACTGCACGAGCGTGTTCAGGTCACACACACCCGTGCTCAGGTTTCACTCCCGTGTTCAGGTCACACACCCGTGCTCAGGTCCCACACCCGTGCTCAGGTCACACCCGTGCTCAGGTCACACACCCGTGCTCAGGTCACACACCCGTGCTCAGGTCACACACCCGTGCTCAGGTCACACACCCGTGCTCAGGACACACACCCGTGCTCAGGACACACACCCGTGCTCAGGTCACACACCCGTGCTCAGGTCACACACCCGTGCTCAGGTCACACACCCGTGCTCAGGTCACACACCCGTGCTCAGGACACACACCCGTGCTCAGGACACACACCCGTGCTCAGGACACACACCCGTGCTCAGGCCACACACCCGTGATCAGGTCACACACCCGTGCTCAGGTCACACCCGTGCTCAGGTCACACACCCGTGCTCAGGGCACACACCCGTGCTCAGGTCACACACCCGTGCCAGGTCCACCACCCGTGCTCAGGTCACACACCCGTGCTCAGGTCACACACCCGTGTCAGCCACACACCCGTGCTCAGGACACACACCCGTGCTCAGGTCACACACCCGTGCTCAGGACACACACCCGTGCTCAGGTCACACACCCGTGCTCAGGACACACACCCGTGCTCAGGTCACACACCCGTGCTCAGGTCACACACCCGTGCTCGGGTTTCACACACCCGTGCTCAAGTCACACACCCGTGCTCGGTCACACACCCGTGCTCAGGTCACACACCCGTGCTCAGGGTCACACACCCGTGCTCAGGACACACACCCGTGCTCAGGTCCAACCCGTGCTCAGGTCACACACCACCCGTCTCAAGTCACACACCCGTGCTCGGGGACACACACCCGTGCTCAGGTCACACACCCGTGCTCAGGTCACACACCCGTGCTCAAGTCACACACCCGTGCTCAGGTCACACACCCGTGCTCAGGTCACACACCCGTGCTCAGGTCACACACCCGTGCTCAGGTCACACACCCGTGCTCAAGTCACACACCCGTGCTCAAGTCACACACCCGTGCTCAGGTCACACACCCGTGCTCAAGTCACACACCGTGCTCAGGTCACACACCCGTGCTCGGGGTCACACCCCCGTGCTGGGTCAACACCCTGCTCAAGTCACACACCCGTGCTCAAGTCACACACCCGTGCTCAGGTCACACACCCGTGCTCAGGTCACACACCCGTGCTAGGTCACACACCCGTGCTCAAGTCACACACCCGTGCTCAGGTCACACACCCGTGCTCAGGTCACACCCCCCGTGCTCAAGTCACACACCCGTGCTCAGGTCACACCCCCGTGCTCAGGTCACACACCGTGCTAGGTCACACACCCGTGCTCAAGTCACAAAACCCGTGCTCAAGTCACACACCTGCTCAGGTCACACACCCGTGCTCAGGTCACACACCCGTGCTCAGGTCACACACCCGTGCTCAAGTCACACACCCGTGCTCAGGTCACACACCCGTGCTCAGGTCACACTCCCGTGCTAAGGTCACACACCCGTGCTAGGTCACACACCCGTGCTCAAGTCACACACCCGTGCTCAGGTCACACACCCGTGCTCAGGTCACACACCCGTGCTCAAGTCACACACCCGTGCTCAGGTCACACACCCGTGCTCAGGTCACACACCCGTGCTAGGTCACACACCCGTGCTCAAGTCACACACCCGTGCTCAAGTCACACACCCGTGCTCAGGTCACACACCCGTGCTCAGGTCACACACCCGTGCTAGGTCACACACCCGTGCTCAAGTCACACACCCGTGCTCAGGTCACACACCCGTGCTCAGGTCACACACCCGTGCTCAGGTCACACACCCGTGCTAGGTCACACACCCGTGCTCAAGTCACACACCCGTGCTCAGGTCACACACCCGTGCTCAGGTCACACACCCGTGCTCATTTCCACACACCCGTGCTAGGTCCCCACACCCTGCCAAGTCACACACCCGTGCTCAGGTCAACACCCTTTGCTCAGGTCACAAAACCCGTGTCAGGTCACACACCCGTGCTCAGGTCACACACCCGTGCTCAGGTCACACACCCGTGCTCAGGACAGCCTCCTTGCCTACACTCCAGAATCTCTACAACTACCGTACTCTTCACATCAACTCCAAGGCTGAGGGACTGATTACCTCATCTTCTGTATATAGTTCAATTGTCTTTTAGTTATGTCCTAGAATTTGTATTGATAAAGCCACTGGAGGGCGAAACGTCTACAGTAAAGATTAACCAGATGTTGCACCTGTGTTTTAACTTTTATACTAATGTTATATTATCTATACTAATGTTATATCATCTATACTAATGTTATATCATCTATACTAATGTTATATCATCTATACTAATGTTATATCATCTATACTAATGTTATATCATCTTACTAATTGTTATATCATCTATACTATGTTATATCATCCTATATAATGTTATATAAATCTTACTAATGTTTATTATCTATATTTAATGTTATATCATCTTTACTAATGTTATATCATCTACACAAATGTTATATCATCTATAATGTTATATCATCTATACTAATGTTTTTATCATCTTACTAATGTTATATCATCTATACTAATGTTATATCATCTATACTAATGTTATATCATCTATACTAATGTTAAATCATCTATACTAATGTTATATCATCTATACTAATGTTATATCATCTATAATGTTATATCATCTATACTAATGTTATATCATCTATACTAATGTTATTCATCTACACTAATGTTATATCATCTATAATGTTATATCATCTATACTAATGTTATATCATCTATACTAATGTTATATCATCTATACTAATGTTATATCATCTATACTAATGTTATATCATCTATACTAATGTTATATCATCTATACTAATGTTATATCATCTATACTAATGTTATATCATCTATACTAATGTTATATCATCTATAATGTTATATCATCTATAATGTTATATCATCTATACTAATGTTATATCATCTATACTAATGTTATATCATCTACACTAATACTGTATCGTCTACAAGGGTGTTATATCATGTATATTGTACCAGGCTTCAGC